GGCACCGCTACAGCCTACACCCTAAGTCCTATACTCTACGCTCTAACCCCTAAATCCTAAATCCTATATCCCTAAATCCCTAAATCCCTAAATCCCTAAACCCTAAACCCTAAACCCTAAACCATAACTTTTCTGGGCGCCCGACATCAGCACCCTGGGTGGTGTGCTTCGCCTAGGTTTTCCAGGGGGCATGCAACCGGGGCCTTCTCACTTCAGGGGTCAAGGACTGAGGAGGACCAACATGAGACATTAAGAGTTATGGATCAAATATCATGGTAGTTGATGACTATCAGAAATGTCATACTCCATCAGTGAATATGAACATCAGCGGCTGGGAAATTTAAGCTGATACTCGATGGGGTTTCAAGACTTTAGAGAGAAGGCTGTAAGCTTAAGGGATCCGTGAGTACCGGTGCAAGAACGGACCATTGAATGATGATAATAAGTCGTCGTAAATCGCCCAGACTCAAGAATGAACAGAGCACTCTAGGAAAAAGGGGCCTAATTAAGTAGGAGCTCGGCGCCCTTGGTCGATAAGCCACTAGGATGCCCAGTAACCTGGAAGTAAAAAGGGCTCCCTTTTTGGTATTGGGTACCTTTCTAAGGAACCTAGGACTACAAAAAGGGAATAAGGGTACTACTGGGCATCCTAGGCCATCAGTCCATTGCGCGGAAGCTCACGGATCTCGGATGATTGTGATTTGAGAAAGACCACGGGTTTAGGGATAAGGGTTAGGGCCACTTGGTCCCGTATTCCTGGCACCTCCTGACGGAGCCGAGCCCTATTGAAAAGGTCTGGCACATGCCACGAACAATGCAACACTTCTATCCAGCACCCTTCATAGGGTAAGGCCTGGTGTTCCCCAAATCCTACAGCCCTAACCGCCTAACCCATGTGCTAAACCGTGCACTAAACCGTACGCCAGTGCCCCAAACTAAGCTCTTCAGCCTGGGTGCTAGCTTGGTCCGTCGGGCGGTACCCTTGCCGCCGGTGCGGACCTCAAGCAAAAGCAAACCTCTTGAATAGGTGTTCAGATTTGGGGGTCGAGGAGGGGCCTGGGGGGTCTGCCAAGTCCTAGTCTTGCGGGTCCTAAAAGCATCGGGGCTCTTAGGTGTCAGGATTTTGCTCAGTAAGCACTGCTTGGAGTCGAGCTGCTTTAGCGCCCTCGTCGGGCCGAGTCTCGAAGGTGTTCAACTCCGAGTTGAGCTATAAACCCTAAACCCGAAACCCTAAAGCCTAAGCCACAACTTTGCAGGTTTGCGACGGCACCTGCCGCGGTCTGCACCTAAACTGGGCTAAGGTTAAGAAGTTGAATTTATGAGCTTAGGGTTTAGGGTGAAGGAAACCATAGTTTTGCTATAGATCCTTATTATGGCAAATTCAGGTTCCTTAACAAGAACCCACTATACCCTAAACCCCGAAACCCGAAACGGAAACCCCCAAACCCCAAACCCATCTTTTCGGCAGGTCGCAAGGCATCGAAAGCCCGCATATAGAGTATGGTTTATATTACTCGTATCCCCATAATAAAACCCAATACATACACTCACCAAAATTCAAAAGGAGCCCTATCTACACTCACCAAAATGGTAATATAAGCCCTACTTCATATAAGTCCCCCATTAGCCCAAACCCAGGCCGGCTAAAAAGCCGCTAAGTCCATGCTCAAATAAGGGGAACTCCAGAAAGTTGGAATATGGATTAATGGTAGGATCCCCTATAATTTACCTTAAGGGGGTTACGATGATGATATTCCAACTTTCTGGCTTCTACTGTAAGGGCTCCTTTCAAGGTTCCTTTAAGGCTCTGCTATAAGGGTTAGATTTGGGTTCTATAGGGTTGAGGGTTTAAGGGTCCATGTACCCGAATAGTATATACTTTGATCTCGAAGTACCTAAAACAGGTACGATTTTAAGGCCAAAGTATACGCTGATTGGTTACACGGACCCTTAAATCCTAAACCCTGAAGCCCTTATGGAACCGTTATACGACCCTTGAAGGAACCCTTGAAGGATGCCTTAGAGGGTACATGGACCCTTAGACTTTCTGTAGTCTTTCAAGCTTACTTAACACGTTAGGGTTTGAGGCTTAGGGTTTCAAACCCCAGATTTATATAGTCGCGTGTTAGCCCTTTCAAAATGCACAGGCTCCGTTTAGGGGTCGATTCAAATGTTCCTCTAAGGGTGTTGATATGGGTGCGGCTAGAAGTTTCCTAGAGCCTGAATTGCTGTCTTTCTTTGGTCACCGCGCTTTCTTGGGGCAGCTTCCCAAATCTCTTTAAAAAAGAACTCGTTTCGCATCCTTAGCCTTCCACCCTACCATAGATCCCCAGCCCTAAACCACCCATGCACACGTATACACACATATGTACGTACATCTGCATCATATAAGTATACATAAATATATAGAGAGAGAACCCTGCAAGAAACGTCACAGGTCCTTGGATGTGTTGTCCTGAGGTCCCGGCGGCGTTGAATCGCCTCAGAATTTAGCTGAAGGTTTAGGATACTAGGGCCAAGGGCTAAGGATACAAAGGATACTAGGGCTGATGATATAAATCCTGCATTACCTTAAGGACCCTAAACTATGGGAATTATGGTATATTCCATATTATGGGTCATGCAGGATTTATATCATCAACCGTAGGGCCTGGGGTTTCAGTTTAAGGTTGAGGGTTGACGATACAAGGGCTTAGGGTTTCGGTTTTGGGGCTCAGGGTTTAAAAGTTTTAGGATCAGATGTGTCCCTGCAAGGCGAAAAACCCTAAACCCTGAACCCAAAATCCTGAACCCCAATAGTCTTCGGGTTTTGGGGCTTACGGTTTAGTGTTCAGGGTAGGTCAAACCCGGACATCAAAAATCACCGATACCCCTGGATTGAGGGCGCTGCATGACGCTGCTTAAGGATCCCCCGCTTTATAAATACGGCTGATGACATAACTCCTGCATTACTTTAATGACCCTAGACTATAGGAACTATGGCATCTTCCTTATTATTATGGGTAATGCAGGGTTTATATCATCGACCGTAGTACGGCTTTGTGCCTCGATCCTTCCCAGGGACTCCAAAATCCCTTAATTGAGGAATATGCCTTAAACTATAGTAGGATTCCCCATTAACGGGATTTTGGAAGGTCTGGGTTTTCGAGTCTCTGGGAGGATTTTGGAAGGTCTGGGTTTTCGAATCTCTGGGAGGATCTCCTGTTGCATCTTTTTGTGCGCCTTGCTTGTGGCTTCGCCAGTCACGGGGAAAGCGCAGCTTGGAGCAATCGCGCACCGAAATCCTAAACCCTAGTCCCTAACCCTATAGAACCCAAGTCCCAAACGCCTAAACCCTGAGGTGAGACAGAGACTCTTCGAGGGCAAGGCCTTCTCAGATTGGGGGTCGGAGTGAACATTGCCGGGCGGTTTAGGGTTTAGTTTAGGGTTTAGGGTTTAGCTTTGGGTTTTGGGGACAATTCGGATGGTTTTTTCATAAGGGAGTCTTTTTAGGAAGCTACCGTAAGGGTTCCTTAAAAGGGTTACTGAAAACGGTTGTTTAAATGGGCTCCTCGAAAAGCTTCCTTCAAAGGGTTCCTCGAAAGGGCACTTTGGAAAGTTCCTTGAAAGGGTCTATTTACAGTGCAAGGGCGCTATCGTATCATCATGAAATCTCCGGTGAATCTTCCCGACCTTAGATTCTAGGGTAGAAAGTATCTAGCTGATGTAGGGCGAAGGGTGTGTTTAGGGTGTAGGATTTAGGGTCCAGGGGCCCAGCAATTAGGAGGGAGCAGGTCGGTAAAATGCAGCACACACCTGCTAAACTCCAACCTCAGCTGATACTGCTGATGGACAAAATCCTGCATGAGCCTAAGGACTCTAAACTATGGGAACTATGGTATATTCCTTATAATGGGTAATGCAGGATTCTGTCCATCAACAGTATCAACTGAAATCGGGTAAACCCTTGCTAACACGACTTGTCCACCTTATTGCTTCACAAAACCACCGGATCTTCCAATTCCGGTAGAGAATTCTACGACTGGGATGTGGCTCAATGTCGGGATTCTGGAGTCGAAGACTTGCCGGGCAGAACCATGCAGCCGTTAGCAGCTCGATCTCGAATTCTGTACACTTCTGTACCAAACGTCCGAGATTCTGGGCGGCTGCCGTCAGTCATGCTCGATCATGGACCTTGACACAAGCAAAGGGCATTAAACTTCAAGTTCTGACGGCCCGACTGAAGAAGATGCATAATATCCTGAAAGAACATAAAGCAAGCCCACACTCGAAAAATCTAGACCTGCATCCTAAATTCATAAATCCTACCGTCTCCCTGCGTGGGCACGAGGTCGCCTTCGATACATGGCTGGTTGTCAAAATTAGGGTCCCTTGTTGGGTCGGCACCGAAAATTTTGACAACCACCCACATGTTTGCAATAGCTTTAGGGTGTCGTGGGTATAGTCTTTCGGGTTTTGGCCTTTGCAGTGGGGGGAAGCAGTGCGTCCACACCTTCGTGATCGACTTGGTTTTGGAACATGCAGCACTAGTCTCTGTCCCTTGCGGTCGTTCATCGTCTGCACTGTGCAACAGAAACACCGGTTAGAGCTTGCCAGTGAATAAGTACGGGCATGAAGGTACATCAGAACAAAGTAGTGAAGCTTTCATCGAACTTCAGCTCAAAACCTGATCCGTAAACACCGGAACCCCAAACGCCTTGTATCAACACTGAACTTAAGATTCAGGACGTTAAACCCTAAACCGTAAGTCGTGATAAATTCTGAGCCCTGCAGTTCAAGTTAGACCCCAGTACTTTGTGTTCCAAAACCTGGAACCCCAAAACCCCCGAACCCGTTCAGGTCATGTTTCACTATGATGATCTTCCGATTGGTACTTTTTAACGCTTCTGCACTACAATTCACTACAAAAACTGCAAGAGGATAATGTACCCACCTAGCCCGATAGCCCTAAACCCCAAAACCCAACTCTTGTCTTGCGACCCCGGCCTTCTGTGGAGGGCTCAGCGACCGCGGCCGCGCTGAGTGTGATGCCGCTCGAGCGCTGTCACAGGTTTGGGCTTAGGGTCCAGGGTGTAAGGGGTTCGGGTTTAAGGTTTGCACTAATGCGAATGGACCCTCGTAGGCGTGAGGATTGTGTGTGTTTGAAGTTGGGGTTTTTGGGCTTCAGGATCTTGTTGTGGCAGCTTGGTTAGAGCAGGAGTTGGGGGCATATTATACTTCAGTGAAAAGTGAAAGTAGAAACCTAGATAAAAATAAAAAAAACATCAAAAACTAATTCTTCGGGCTTGTATACTGGGGCTCGAAGGGGTTCAGGGCTGAAGAGTAGTGGGTTTTCGAGCTGCCGAGTTTAGGATTGTAGCGGTTCTGCGTTTGGGGTTACGGGGGTTTTGAGGTTGACCGGAGAAATTGCACCACGATTTTGAGCTCATGGTGCTGCTGTGGTTTGGGATGTCGTAGGATTTACGGGCAGAGTTTGAGGCCCGGGGGTGCCGGTAAGCCAGGGCTCTCTTGCAACCCTCTAAATCCGACATCAACATCACCATAAACCGTCGTACTACTAAGTCTATGCGCATCCACGTAATCCAGGCCGGTCTCCGCAACACTATAACCCTGAGCAATAAAATCCAGAACCCTACATCTCTGCCATCATCAAGTCCTACATCCTTCACTATGGATGCTGCTGATCCGGATGCTGATTCAGAAAGTAGCGATGCAATAGATAGAGCGATAGCACCGGCCCGAAGACGTCCCAAAGTGCACCAACAACCAAGGCCAGCAGAAACCCTTTGAGTAAGTTAGGGTCTAGGGTTTAGGGTCCAAACCCTAGACCCTAAACCCTCAACCCCGCCACCGGACATCCTTAGAAACCCTACCCAACACCTGCAACCCGAGCCCCTAAATCCTACCCCTGACGCACTAAAAAGAAACCCTACCTAAAAAGGGTCCTGGAGCGTCCGCTTCTGCGCCAAGGCGCATGACGCGAAGCTCCTGAAAGTAGCGACCCAACGATGGCAAGGTGAGGCCATTTCTACTAAACGACTTAGGGTTTAGGGGTTGAGGGTTTAGGGGTTTGGGGGTTAGGGGTTTAGGGTTGGGTTTAGCGTTTAGGGTATAGGGTTTAGGGGTTTAGGGTGTAGGTTTCGTGGTTTATGGTTTTGAAGCCATCCTACTAGACGGCTCAAATAATTAGAATAGACTCTGGGGTGGGGGCAGGTTATAGTGTAAGTGTAAGTATACCCTACCTCGAAAACTCAATGACCAAAGCATGGTTGATCAAGAGAAACATTGTTCTGAAAACTGCATTCTTCTACTGAACACAGTATGCCGAAAATGCTAAAGACGACGACATCCAAAAGAATACCGCTCAAGGCCTGCTACTGGGAACGCGATTGACCTGATTGTGCAGGGGCTTACATTGCCCAGAGGGTCCATATATACTACTATAGTGGAATTAAATAAATAGGTCCCAACAGACCATACCTATTATGGTTTTGGGGACCTGATTCCATAATGGTAGTGTATATGGACCCGCTGGGTTATTGAGAAAAAACAAACACGGATGGCAAGAACACTCAAAGACAGTGAGCAGCACCGTGTGCCTCGCGGAGCGTGTCACCTGGGGCCGCACGCCGGCTGGCGCAGCTGGACCTGGCACAGGACCCAGCAGGGTTTTGGGGGGTTTTGGGTTTGGGGCTGGTGTTTTTTGGTGTAAGGTTTAAGGTAGAGGATCGTGCCTCTGGTTTGAAAGTTTCAGAAAGTACGCGACAGGAGCCCATCAAAGCCCCTTAACGCTATTGGAACCTTCTTCTGTTCAACAGCCCGTGGAGGTCGAAGGTGCCAAGCTGTGGTTGTTGCCACTGATACGGGGGGTTTATAATTATAAACGGGGTTCTTCGATATACTGTAGTATAGTTTGTTCAGGTTTCCGAAGGAGTGGTGTTGGTTATCATTCAGCTTTCTAGTATTCGTTTTGCGGGGCTCTGCAGCCTTCCACGACGGCCTGAGAGCCACGAAACTGCTTTATGAAAACGGTGGCAAAGAAGCCAACAGTGGAATTTTCGAGACCACGAAAACACCCAGTGTGTAGTATCTGAGATCCAAAACCCCTAAACCATAAAACCTTACACTCAACCTTGCCAGCCCTGAAATTAAGTCTAAAGCGGAAGAAACTGAGAGGTTCAAGAACCCACAGCACTCCTGTATTTACAGAATCGAGCCCTTGCGGAACCCAAATGCTTGTGCGCCCTCAGAACCACAACAAAGGCACCATATCAAAATAATGACCCCTTCGAGCTTTATGATAACAAAGATTGCGCAATCCCAAACTGGAGTGTAGGACCCCTAAACCCTAAACCCCTGAACCCCTAAACCCTAAACCCTTAGGGCCACACCCTAAACCCTAAACCGAAGCCTCTCGCCCAATGCTGCTCTGTCCTCACGGCCAGGCGAGACCTCCCATGCTGCTAGGGCTCTGTTGAGCTAGGGCTCTGGGCCTTGAGCAAAAAGAATGTGTTAGAAGGGGCCCCCATCCTGTAATAGTGGTATAATAGGAATATAATAGGGCCCCAATATAATCCTTCTGGTCACTATTGCAGGGTGGGGGCCCTTTCTAAAGAATACCGCTCTCTTAACAGTCTCCTGAAGGGTGGTATACAGATTTAGTGCATTTTCCTGAATCACTAGAATGGAGTTTTGGCTACGGAACCAAAACTCAAAGTGCTACTTACAATTCAGGGCTCCTACAGGAGGGACCTCTTCAGGGTTCCCCTGATATGATTTCTTTATATACGTCCTTAGAAAGGTGGGTTACTTGGGGTTGGGGTAGGGCAGGGCTTGGGGAAAAAGCGCGTGAAGAGCTTTGGGGCCAAAATGGCTCTCGTGACGCCTACAGTCTGCTGCTTAGGGCTTAAGTTTCCCTGAACCCTAAACTACCCTAAACCCTAAACTCTAAACCCTAAACCCCAAACCCCAACTCTAAGCCCTAAACCCTATAAACCCTAAACCTTGACGGCTTCGGGCTCGCAGTCCTAAGGCGGCCTTATCTAGGCTTGAGGCTTGCCGGCTTAAGGCTTTCTGGGGCTTTAGGACTTACCTTAAGGACCGAGTGCGCCTGAAAAGTAGTCGCCCTACACCATTGCACTGTGAAGCCCATTTTGTATATGAGCCTTGAACCCTTTTAGGGTGCATTTCGTCTTTAAGGTACGGCTGTCATGAGGCTTAAAAAGCTTGCGGGCTTGAGGCTTTTCTAGGTTGTCGATCTTTGGGCTTGAGGCTCTTGGGGTCAAGGGTTCAAGGCCTCAGGGGTCAATAATATAGGGGCCTTACGAATTATAGGATTTTGAATATTCTATGCCATAATTGTAATTATTAAGGAACCCCCAAAGTAGTATAGGTAATTATTTAGGCCCCTATAGTACAGGTTCCGGGCGATAGGAGATGAGGGTTCGGGCTTTGCCGGCTTGATATTTTTCACTTGCGAGCTTCGTGCCGGTATCGCAGTGTCTCGGGGCTAGGGTCTATAAAGCATTGGGTATACACACCCTACACGTACACCCTAAACTCTAACCCCCTAAACCCCAAGAGCCTAAACCACAAGGTCTTAGGAAGCCCTAACTTCAAAATCAAAACCAAAACGAGCATTTGCCCCCGGAAACCTGTCCGCACTTGCGCGCTGTGTTGAGATGGTCAGTAAGATTGCCAAGATAGAAATGGTGATTACTTCAGGGTTAAGACTAAGGGGTGCCAAGTAGACTCACTAAGTCGAAAGAGCCTCCAGATTAGCTTAGCATCTCCAAAGCCACACTGTCTGCCCGGATAGCTGGTTCTCACACTCTTTTGAGGGCGGTTGCTGGCTCCTCCGTCTGCCTAAACCCTACATCCTGAACCCTCAAAACTCTAAACGACTAGCCCGAAACACCTACACCCTGGTTAAACCAAACGCTTGAAACCACCGTAAACACCTGCAGCCCTAAGTCCTGACTTCCTATGATCTGCAGAGGGCTTGGTGCTTAAGGGCTACTTTGAGGCTCGAGCCTTTCAATTCATCCCGAAATCACCCCAACCGCAAACCGTAAACTCCCCACAACGCAGAAACAAATCCGCACACCGAACACACTAGACACGAACAGCCCTGACGCCCCAAACCGAAACCTGACAACAGTCCCCGCGCCATCCGCCTCTTCTACGCCCTAAACCCTAAACCCGAAGCTCTAAACCCTCAACCCTATACCCTAAACGCCAAAACCCCAACGTGGCATCCGCCTCTTCTACGGGCTCTTCGAGCGGCGTCTTCGGATCTTCCTCCACTTGCTTCTCCTCTTTGTTTAGGACTTAGGGGTTTAGGGTCTAGGGTTTAGGGCTTAGGGTTTAGGGGTCCTGGTTGCAGATATGTGGATTAAGATGGGGTGAGTTTAGAAATTAGCAGGGCCTCCTTATCAGGGATTTAGAGGGACATTTATATAATGGTCTACACCAGAGAGTAACAAAGGAATGAAAAAGGTGCCCTTTTTGATTTGAAGGGGCTTCTAAGAGAACCGGAACCCTAAAAAAGGGGAATAAGGGCCTACTCTGGGTCCTTGTGGTTTACAAGGATTTAAGCAGAAGGCTTATTCGGTCGTGGAGTTTGGCTTCCGAACACCAATCTCCCCATCCTCAAGCCTCTCCAACCTACAAGGTTCAATTCCTGAAGCCTCGCCGCACGATTCTCTGTCTGGTGCTTAGCAGGGAATGGGGAATGGATCCCCATAGTAGTCCCTACATCATCCCCCAATGATAGTCTCCATAATCCATTGCCCCATTCATTCCCTACTAAGAAGCAGAAAGTTCTCTACAAAATTCCATAGACTCGGACACTCTGGTGTTCTCTAACCATGAGCTCACCATTTCACCGAAAATCACCTCATCTGAACAACTTTGGGTATCTCGCATGATAAAGTGCGCAGGGACCTCACGGAGATGTAACTATTGAGTTTTTCAATCCTCTACAGTACGTTTGGAGGCCTACTTGCGGGAGGGCTGACTCTGTGATTCAGTTTTTGGCCCTCCAGAAATCCTCAATACCAGTGTAAGCGGGCACTTGCGGGTCCGTTAATCCGGCAGTCGTTCAACGGCAGGTGTTGTAGCATGGCTGAACTCCCCCTTTATAGTACCCGTCTAGATCCCTTAAGAGAGCCCTTCACCCAGAAACCGAAGAACCAAAAAAACTGAACTGGATATGGAACCGGGTTATGGCCAATGTCTTCACGAGGACCTTCGAAAGGCAGCCGGATGCTTCATCTCAACAAGAACCAAGTTCTGTCACCCCGAAATCCAACAATTTGAAACGCACGGTTAATGCCACCCGACCCTGTGCCCACGCAAGAACAAACACGACAATACAAATATGGCTTTTGCCAATGTCACGCTGCCGATCGAAGCCATCCAGGATCTGTTGTCAGCATGTATGGCATGAGCGTCGAGCTGTCGCATGATAGGAAAGTCCTTCCGAGACGGACTTTGTCTTAAAGGGCCCGTCACGACCGACGCCTTTTGCCCTGTTCCCAGAGCCAGGCGAAACCAGAAGTTGCCGGCAAACGCAGAAGGGACGGGGGTGAAGGCAAGGGCCAAGAGGCGACCAACGTCACTCTTCTTCACTGCATCGCCGGGTCTGTGAACTTGAGTTCCAACTTGGTTTCCTGAATTAGCAAATACTAAAACACCACTGAAGCCCGACCAAATTCTGACAAAAAGCGTATAAAATCCTGCATGAAATCTTAAACCATCGTGCCAGGTCCTGCTAGCCATGGCAATACTCCCACATTGCTCCTACATGTCCTCTCAAAACCCTGCCAACATCCGTACTAACCCCCTATAAAAGCCCTGGAAAGCCGGCGTCCTTGGCCGCGCCACTGGAGCGCGGGGACTGACCACCAAAGAGAGGAGTTTTTTAAAGGAGCTTTGTATTGGACGTGGCCTAGGAAAGACCCACTGTTTGCGTTGGGGCTGCTGGGCTTGAAGGATTTAGTTTGAAGACCTCAATGAAGCCTCAATGTGTTGATGGGGATTTGACCACTACGTGCCGATGAGGTTTGCGAATTTCGGGGTGCAACATTACAGTACCCAGTCCAGGTCCAAACACGCTCTTTGTGTAGCAGTTGCAAACCCCATTTCTAAGCCCGTAAACCCTGGTATGAAAGCTTGCATACACCCTTCGATAAATCCCAGAAGCCCGCAAATGAAAGCTTGGACCCTATAATCCCTAAACCCTGAACCACAAACACACCTATCCCTCATAAAAACTTTTGGAACCCTAACGCCATCTCACGAAAATGGACAAGCCATATCCTTCTGACCTCCGTGCCCAGCGCAGCCAGCAACGCCTTGGATTGCAGCTTTGGGGTATGGCTCCCTCTTCCCTTCCCTCATGAAGAGGTGCATACATACACACACACACATATATATGTACATGTGTGTGTGTGTATATGCAGATATTCGAGTGTATATATAGATGTGTTTATATATATATATATGTATGTATGTACGTATGTGTATATATAGATATAAATAGAAACTCTCTTTACTAAAAGTCTATAAGCTTACTACTGGGATTCGATTGCTCTCTGACGGTGCTGTTGCTATGTTGTTGCACCGAAAATACGGGGTTCTCGTGTTAAGGAACTCAACTTGAGTCGCTGTACCATAATAGGGACCTACAAGGGCTCCTTCAAGGGATCTATAAGAGTTCCTTTGAGGGGTAGGGTTTAGGTTTAAGTTACCATACAGGGAGGTATAGATAAAACGAGGGTTTCCTCATTATGGTGACGTACATGAGGTTAGTTAACAGAACAGGAACCCAGCTAAAATGCGATTTGTCTTGTGTTCGCTGTACCCTTTCAGGATAAAAAGAATCCTCGTAACTCGCTTAACTCGCTAGGGCATAAGAGATTTATTTCGGCATGTGAAAGCTCGTAATGGATAAATGGCCTGCAATGGTGCACTGCAGGGTCTTCAAGATACTCGGCTCATTGCCATGTAGGAGACTAGCTACCTGCTACCCAGTGCAATGGCATGCATGCATGTTATGAGTACTCTGGGCAAGCTGAAATGCAGTGACAGCTTCCGCCTGCTGACACACCGAAAAACACCGCGCAAAAACCTTGCAAACCATGACGTCAACAACCCGCCCAAAAATTATCCCAAGCTAGGGTTCGATGTTGAACCCATAACGGAAAACTACACGTTCTACCTAGGTAACTTGAGAATAGATTTATCCCTGACACCCTCGGCATAGAGCACGGCGAATCCTACCAGCACGGGTTTCACTTGTCTCGCCCTGGTACAAGCCCAAATATACATTCACCGATACGCTCCTTGAAGAATCCACGGCATGTCCATGCCCAAGCCACGCTCAGCTCACGCGCCGTGTCGCCCGGAGCCGCGCGCTTGGAGGCCTCCGGAGAATGCGGGCACCCTAAACCATACACACTAGATGCAAGCTGAAAGTCCTAAACTCCTAAACCACAAGACGTAAGGGTGAAACCTACCACTGATTCATGAGCTTTGGGATTTGTCATTGTGGTGATTTGTTTTTGCGGGCTCGAACCGGACCAAAGCCTCAAGCTGCGTTTGGCACCATGGTCTGGCAGTAGGGTACTGTAGGAACCTGATTAAGAATCCCTGGGCCTATAACCCCAAAACAGTAGGATGCATATAAGGAGCCCTAATAAAGGCACAAGGTTTCTTAATCGGGTTCCTACATCAAACGCCCCAAAAGCCTCATAGTACCCTTATAATACCCTTTGAAGGAACCCTTCAAAAACCCTAATACAAGCCCAAGGTTTCCTAATCAGGTTCCTACATTATCATAGTACCCTGATGGATTCCTTAGGGTTTAGGGTTTAGGGTATAGACCCCTTTGAAGGAACCCTAAACCCTGCATTGGGGCTTAGGATTTAGGCCCCGTTTCGGGGGCACACAAACCCCTCCCTCGGGACTCCAAGATCCCCCCAAGAGACATCTCAAATTAAGGGTTTAGGGTTTAGGGTTGAGGGTTTAGGGTTTAGGGTTTAGGGTTAAGGGTTTAGGGTTTAGGGTATACTTGAAAAGACATGGGAGTTTCCGAAAATAGGGGACCCAAATATAATGCCCTAAATAGTGGGATCCTTATTATGAGGACCCCCGGAAGAAGGTACCCCTATTTTCGGAAACTCCCACATCTCAAATTCAGGGATGCCTTAAGGTTCCTTTAAAGGGATCTTTTCAAGGGTTCCTTAAAGGGATCCATTATAGGGGTTCTTTCCAGGGTTTAGGGTTTAGGGGGTTTTCCGAAAATTCGAGGTACCGAATTTTCGGGTCCTTATACTAATAATAAGGATCCTATTAGATTAGGGTCCCCTATTTTCGGAAACTCCCATATTCTGATACGGATCCCTCTGCAAGCTGAGGTATGAATATGTACATTGATTGCGGAATTGTCGAGTCGAGTCTTTGTGCTTGAGCACACCCCTGGCATCTTAAACCGCTGTGGGAAGGGTCGGGTCAGTGGATGGCCCTCCTGCCTAGATTTAGGGCTTACCGGTAGGGTTTCGGGTTTAGGGCTTCGGGTTTGGGGGGTCTACTTGGAGGGCCAGGGGACTTAGTAAGTAGGACCTATATGTACCCTACATGGAGTTACCCCAATTATAACCCTACTTATAAGCTACTTACTAAGTCCCCTGCCCCTCCAAGTAGTGGTATCAGTTTCTAGGGTCCTTAATTATAGTAAGGATCCTACTATTTAGGGTACTATATTTTGACCCCCTATTTTCGGAAACTTCCGTTTTTAGGTCTTAGGGTTTAAGGTCTCGGGTTTGGGGAGTCTAGTGGTACGTATCAGTTTCGGCTTGGTTTTTTTGCGGGTTTAGGGTCCACGTCTTAACTTCAGTCTGCTCACAACTAGGATGCCCAGTAACCTGGGAATAAACAGGGCTCCCTTTATAAGGAACCTGCGGTTGATGATATAAATCCTGCATTACCCATAAAAAGGAATATATGGGAATTATGGTGTATTCCTTGCTATGGGTCATGAAGGATTTATATCATCAACCGTAGGAATAAACAGAGCTCCCTTTATAAGGAACCTAGGACTACAAAAAGGGGATAAGGGTACTACTGGGCATCCTGGAGAAGCAGAAGTCCAAAGACTTCGGTCAGCCGCAACAAGAGAGCTCATGACCTCTGACCCTGGTTTCGAATTCAGGGTACGGCTTGGAGTTGAGGGTACGGTTTAGAGTTTAGGGTTCAGGGTTTAGGGGTTTAGGGTTTGGGGTTTAGGGTTTAGGGTTTAGGGGTTTAGGGTTTAGGGGCCTAGGGGTTTAGGGTTTAGGGGTTTAGGGCGGTTTAGGAGTTAAGGGCTTAGGGATATTCCCAAAGGGTCAAAATCCTGAACCCTCATAAACCACGCACACAAAAACAATAACAAAAGAAACGGTGCCTTACGCACTGAAGCCCCGGCGCAGGAACGTCCTGAAACCCGATCCCTGAAACCCTAAACCTCTGAACCCCAAACCCCTAAACACCTAAACGCCTTTAGATCCCTGAAAAGGAGCCCTTATGGATCTCTATATAGAACCCTTACAGATCCCTTTGAAGGAACCCTACTTGGAGGGGCAGGGGACGTAGTAAGTAGGTTCTAAGTAGAGTTATAAGCACCCTCAATGGAGTTACCCCAATTATAACCCTACTTATAATCTACTTACTAAGTCCCCTGCCCCTCCAAGTAGACCCTAAACCCTAAACCCCCTAGATCCCTTTGAGGAACCCCATAGATCCCTTTAAGGAGCCCTTACTAAGTCCCCTGCCCCTCCCAGTAGAGAACCCCTAAACCCCGAAGATGTGGCCTCCATGTTCCTGTCTCGCCAATGTGGCTCCGGCGGAGGCCTTACTTGGAGGCCCGGAGGACTTTAGGCTATCTTTAAGGGCTCCTTTAAGGATCCTTCTTTAAGGGCTCCTTTAGGGATCCTTTTAAAGGATCTATAACAGAAGGGTGCATAATTCATAATCACTTATGTAGGGTATCGTTAAGGGCTCCTCTAAGGTTCCGTTTAAAGGATCTATAACAGAAGGGTGCATAATTTATAATGACTTATGTAGGGTATCTTTGAGGGTTCCTTTAAGGGTCCTTTTGAGGGATCTATAACGGTGCATCATTTATACTTGGGGTCAGTCCATGTAGGGTACTTCTACTTCACTTACTACCTTCTTGCTTAGCCCCCTGGGTTTCCAAGTAGGCGGGGTTTGGTCTGGGGTTTGGGGTTGGGTTTAGGGTTTAGGTTTTAGGATATAACTCTTACACATTTTTATGCTGTAGGGCTCGGGGCTTGGGGTTGTAGGATTCGTTTCGGAGGACGTGTGGGCTGGGATTTATGGTGTAAGCATGAGAAAATATATAGTACCCTGATAGATCCCATATAGTAGCCCTTATAGACCCCTTTAAAGGGAACCCTATTTTTTTACGGATCCTTTCTCAGATCTCTATAGACGGTATATCTAGACGGGTACATCTAAGCCCTAAAGCCTAAACCGTTGAGGCTAACGGGGCTTCCGGGTGTGCGGGTTGTAAGGATGAGGAGTGGGTTTTTGGGGCAGGCGGTTTAGGGTTTAGGGTTTGGGGTTTAGGGTTTAGGGTTTGGGGCTTAGGGTTTAGGGTTTAAGGTTTAGGGTTTGGGGAAGAGATTAGGTTGTGGCGTCCATGGACCTCAGCAGCGTGTCGGGCACTATGCCTATTAATGATAGTTTTGATATTTCAGCAGGTCAGAGGATCTGTTGGGAACTATAGAACAGCCTACCGCAGGAAACTGTAGATGTATCTTTATCTAATGGAAAACACACCGACGCATCGATATCCCTTGCCCTAACCTGTTAGACAGTATGTAGCGACATGAAAGAACCTAAGCCTAAAACCGTAAAACTAAAACCCTCAACTTTAACCACAACCCAAAACAATCTGTGGCCCTGCCCACGCCCATGGATTCAGGAGGACTCAGAAGGAGTTCCCCCAGCTACGAAGGATAGATCTTCAGACCCTCGGCCCTGTAGCCCTAAACCTCTTCGCGCTTAGGGTTCGGTTTTTTTCTTTTTTTTTTTGTGGGCCCTTTTCGGGTTCGGGTTTAGGATTTAGGGTCTATAAACTCTTTGTCAAGCTCTGCGCCCTGCAACCCCAAACCCTCAACGTGTAAGTAAGGCCACCCTCGCCTAAAGCCTAAGCCCCAAGCCCTGACTTAAAGGCTTTGAACTTCAATCTGGTTCGTCATATATCAAGGGGAGCTGGAACTTCGCCGCCTGTTGCCACTCAGGCTCTGCGAACCCTTCAGCATCGAGCTCGAACAGGCCATCCGTTTGCTTGCTGTTGTCGTCGTAGTGCCAGTGAACGAAATCGGACATTTCACGAGCTCCTTCGCAAAAAGCACGATCTGCTCGTGGGCCCTGTCTTGAAGCGACAAAGGTGCGGCTGCGCCCGCAGGGTTTCATGGTCGAAGTACAATACTGGTTCTTGGACGGTATATGTATTGTAGTACGATCTTAAAGGCACTATAAGGGGATACTCTTTATAGATATTCCGAGCCCCACATTAAAATCCGAAGAAATAGCGTCTCTTCCGGATAATTACGAGCTCGGAGTCTATACCCCAAGAGTCCAAGTACCCAATAATCATACACTCGCCAAAATCCTAACCTACATAACCCCTAAACCCTAAACCCTTAACTACTATCCTAAAACCGAGTACCTAATTATTAGGTCCAAAGGACCTTAGGGATGGGCCTCAGGTTATGGGCATGGCACGGCTCCAAAAAAAAGCGTCGTTCCTACTGAAGACCAGCTCTCAAAGAGAACCTTGTCTGAAGCTTGCAGAAGTGAGATCCCTGCACCCTGACCGTGAAAACCAAATCCAGTAAATGCCACATTAGGGATCCCTCTGTCGTTAAGAGATTTGCAGTCTCTGGGTATTTACCTTGCTAGCATTTGAGCAACAGTTCTGTAAGCACGATGAAGTCCCACAAACTTCAGCCCATGCGAACCATAAATCCCACAATGTTACAAACATCAGCCCATGCGAACATAATGTTGCACAATAGCCCAGAGTAACAACTATACTATACCATAGGTCTTGGCAAATATGCCTGTATCGTGCATAATGCATTCCTTAAGTCAGGGGGATTGGCTCTCGAAGTTCCTAAACACCGGTAACATACGCCTATGACAGCTACATAATGGTGCAAGATCAGCCCACGTCGTCCCAAAACCCACCCTAAACAAACCCTGCGTTAAAACAGACGACCCGCAACCCTCACCAAGCCCGCAAAAACCCGAGACAAAGAGGCCTGAACGGCTGGAATAGGGTTTCGGGGTATGTACACGCAAGCATCTACTGAGAGGCTGTAAAACGAGGTATTCTGAGTACAACTTCCGACCACTACTGTTGCAACTCCCTCAGGGTCCATGTACCCATGTAGCCTATCATGTAGTATATACTTTGGCCGCAAAGTAGTTAGTCTCTGCATAGGTACTTCAGGGTCAAACTACTTTATGAGCACATGAAGCCTTAGGGAATGTGTTCTTTTCTAGGTGGCCGGCTCTTCCGCCTCCTCCACGACTGTCTCCGCCGGGGGTGGTGGTGGAGGCGGCGGCGGCGGCACGTCCGTATCAAGCTCCATGTTGGGGGCTTCTAAGTACTGGGACGGGGATCCCTCCTTAAACCCTAAACCCTAAACTTTAAACCTTAAACAACCATAAATAAAACCTAAACCTTACACTCCCTACGCCCTAAACCCTGTAGGACCTAAACCCAAAGACGAAGGATCCCATCTCCGGGGGTTTGGGGTTTGGAGACTCTTGCTGCGATCTTGGATGGTTTAACTGCGCCCATATTCAGAAAAACGCGCAGAAAAGATGCAAAAACTGTGTGAAGATCTAGGTTTCGAGATGAGTGCCCAAAAGTAGCGACTTAAACCTAAGCGGCTGCAGAAGCATCGGCACATGGGCTTAACGTAAGACTGGGGTGAAGCTTTTGAAGGTTTGAGAACTTACCCAAATGGTCGGGGCTTCGCAAGTCTGAGGGTTCAGGGTTTAGGCGTTTAGGCGTTTCGGGTTTAGGGTTTAGGGCCACGCAACATTAAGGGCTCAATAATTGGAATAGGGTTCTGGGGCAGGTTATAGTACAAATAAGTCATGGCACCCTCAGGAATAACGAGCCCTGAATCAAAAAGATAGCCGAAACTCTCTCACCCTGAACTCGTCGGAGATGTAACATGATGCTGGGTATAGTACACCATAATAATAAGAGGTGCTATACAGTGAAAACAGAAGTGCGAGAAGGGCCAAAGACTGCAGGCCCTAGTTTGTACCTCAGCTGCAGGAGCCCTTAAATCTCTGAACAGGGTGAAACTTAAAGGGCACCCAACCTATGTTTGAGATCTCTCAGACCAGGAAAATTACAAGAGCCATTCATGCCCAGTTGTCTTTGAATTGCGGGACCCCAAAGCCTACTGCAAACTTTCAACCGTGTGAGCACATTTCACTAGGACTTGAAGCCTCAAACACTAAACCCAAAAGCCTAAACCCTAAACCCCCTAAAGCCTGTTATCAACCTTGAACAAAATAGCTGACTTGGACTTACACCGGACCCCCGAGGCTGAAAATGGCCCCAAAGTTTATATGTATGTAGTATCAAAGGGGAAAAGGAAGGACCCTTAATGGGTACCCCTACCCTATAATGGGCTATATAATGGCTATATAATAGCTATATTAAGGGTATATACCTAGGGGTCCTTATTAAAGGTCCCTCCTTTTACCCTTGGGTAGAATGGTCTTCTGGCCCAAAAGCCATCAACTCTCTGTCCATAGAGCCTCAAGGGACCTTACACCCACGTAAGAAGCCATTAGTGGAAATAGAGGTTAACCTTAGGCGGTTTTGGGCCAAGAAAAACTAGCTAAAGGTTACCTCCTCTACTTACTACTCCACCCTGAGCCCTAAACCCTAAACCCAAAACCCCTAAATCCCTAAACCCCTAAACCTCTAAACTTTAAACCCCTAAACCCTAAACCCCTGAGCCCTAAATCGGAGTAGTCTCGAGAAGCTCAGCCCTCGCACTCGGCGAGCTTGGCCCGCGCGGCCAGGACCTCTGCAGACCTTTTGGACACAAAGAGCCCAATACCCCTTAATTAGCTTAAATCATGAGGGGCTTCATATTATGATTTAAGCTATATTCCTTAATTAAGGGGTATTGGGCTCTCTGGGGACGGGAATCTGATACGGCGTTTTGCAGTGTAGGGCTTACGACGAGGGCTAGGTGTGAGGCTTAGGGCGAGTGCTTTGAGGCCTGGGAATAGGATCGGGTTCGCGCAAGGGCTACTTGAGAAGGTTCTATTTCGATTTGGCATCGGGGCCTGAATTGGGCCGTCTGTTGGCTACACCACGGGCCATACAAGGATACTAGCGAGAAAATTCAAATGACTCACACCTCTCAGGATGTCATTTGGCACATTTGCTGCGATGTTACAAGTCAGGAACCCGACATGAGTTTATGAGTTTATGTTTATGCGACGTTAAAAGACTTCGGGCTTGCTATGGCAACCTTGGCTTGCGCAAAACCAAAGAAACTCAGCTTCAAGACCCCAGCCATCAAATCGACACACCATGGCACAGAAGATGATGATAATCGCAAAGGCGACGACGATGGATGCGGCGACGATAATGACCATGTTGGTAATTAGTGGTGATTGTGGTCATGATGCCCGGCCATTATTATAACGAAGCGTGAGATCAGCTGCAGCAGCAGCCCACAACAACAACGGCAGCAAAATATCAAGACAGAGAAGATGCTGACAATTCCGATTTTACGAACCCTAGACCCCCTGATAAATCCCATTTTATAAATCCTCATTCAAAACCCCCGTACCATTACCGGAGAAAGCATTAAGGCCTCAGAGGGAAGAACTGAGGCCGCCGCTGATCCTTATTCATCCTGCCACCTAAGACTCTTCCTCCCCGTCTGCCGTGGAGCTTTTTGAGCCAGTGGCACAGAAAATCAGGAGCTCTGCACCCTAAACCCTACTTAGACCCTAAGGAACCTACCTTTTTAGGGTTCCCTAATATGATTTCTTTACATAAGTCCTTGAAAAGGTAGGTTACGGTAAACCTTAAATTGTTGAGAGGCGAGGACCAAACTTCCCCCATCTTCTCACTCTGACAGGGCGAGGCGGGTAGAGGGGGGCATCTGGCTTTGCTAGGGGGTGCTTATGACCATGGTTGTGGAAGGCTCTATAACGCAAGACAGGGCCTTAATGATTAGAATGGGGTTTTGGGACCCACTATACTATACTTATACCAAGGAACCCCCATAATAGTATACAGTATAGGTAATTGTTAAGGCCCCTATACTAAATCCTTTTTGGTAGCCCTTATAGTAGCCCTCATAGACCCCTGTAATAAAGGACCGCCCCTACAGTATTTGTAGATCCGGAGACTTTTGGGATTAGGGTCGTAGGTCGGTCAGGCAATGGCTGAGGGGTTTCCCAAAGGCTCCTAAGTTAAGTACCGATATAGCAGAATATAGGGTATCTATATTAGAAAGTGTTACTATGACTTAGGGAAGTATGTTACCATGACTTAGGGAAGTATCTCCCATAACAATACATAGGACCCTTTGGGTGTTAATAAGAGCACACAGGTTCCACATCTGGAGGAAACATCAGACCGTTTGGACTAGGGTCTACTTGGAGGGTCGAGGGACTTAGTAAGTAGGAGGCCCCTAAACGGGATTCTAAGGGTTCCTTTAAAGGGCTCTATAAGGGTACTATAGGGTTTAGGGTGTACTTAGTAAGTAGGTAGTAAGTAGACTTATAAGTACCCTAAAAGGGACCCTAATTGGGGTTATGGTACTTATAAGTCCTTAAAACAACCAGTTACTAAGTCCCCCGACCCTCCAAGTAGGGCCCTTCACCGACTTCGCGTTCTCGGTTCATGGCTAGTAGTGTTTTTGTTGCGAAGTGGTAATATCAGTGTTCATACTAGGTTTTGGGTATTAGTGTTAGTGATAGTGTTAGTGTCACAGTGTCAATGCTAGGGTTTCGGGTCTATCGGTTTTAGGAACTGGGTTTCAGGGTCTACGGTTTGCGGTCGAATCGCTTTTCTTCAATGTCTGGAACGTGGCGGGCGAGTCTTGCCGGTAGCCTTAAACCTTGTGACTGTGCTACCAAGCAATCACCTCAATAATTCCGTTGCCGACGGCAGCGTTGGCCTCAGGATTTTCGGGCTTCAGACTTCCTTCACCGTATCCGACTGAAACGACGAATTTCCAAAACCCTGGACTACGAAAGCCCGGGACCGAAACCCTAAGCTTCATGCATCGTGGGTGCCACGGAATCCCACTTTGACGAGGAAGAAATGCATGGGATGAAGGAAAATTGAATCCAAATATGGGTAACCATGCTAGACTTTTTGTGACAGGCAGCCGTCATGCCAGCTAGGATTTGGAGAAATTGTCTTGACATCCGCACAAAAACGCGTGGACCTTGAAGGTTTCGACTCACGCAGTCAAGCAATACCCAGAGATCCCAATAACTCCTCATTAAGGAAGATACCTTAAACCATAATATTAAGGCCCGTATAGTTTAAGGTATATTCCTTAATTAAGGGAGATTGGGATCTCTGAGTAGAGTCCCAGATTGAAGCCTTGCTTGCATCTCAAATGCTCTAAGACTCTCGACGCTCCTACAATATCGAAAACCACAACCACGAGAATCTGACGAAACTACATTCCACCAAACCCATACAACCACAGCTGGAAAGAGGCTTTTACAGGTCTCTCTAAACCAACGCTGGGCCCGCGCAGACAGCGGCTTCAACGCCGCCTTACCCAAGTGCAAATCCCAATCGCCAAAACCTGAGGAACAGAAGGCCACATAGTTCAATATGCCCCAAATCCCAAAAACATTTCAAATGCCCTAGGAACACATACAACCTAAACCCTAAACCATAGACCCTAAGCCCTTTCAATCGCTGCCCAACAATCCTGGCCGCAACACACCGGTCCTTGACTGGCCTTCGGCCAACCAAGGGCGCTACACATTTCTGACGACAGCGAGTCGCCAGAGAAAATCCCTAGAAGCCTAAATCCCGAATCCGAAGATTCAGTTCCCTTCGGAAAAAATCTAAACTCTGTGTCTCAAGAACCTCTAATAATTGAACAAAACTGAAGACTCTTAAACTCCAAACCCAAAACCGACCGGAACGATCCATCCCCCAGTCGCGTCCCCTCCGGGGAAGCGCAGGAAAGCGCGATTTCGATCGTTAGATGCAAGTCATCCGATACCGTAACCAAAGGCTTACTTGGAGGGACAGGGGACTTAGTAAGTAGTTTATAAGTAGAGTCATAAGTACCCTAAATGGAGTTACCCCAATTATAACCCTACTTATAACCTACATACCAAGTCCCCTGCCCCTCCAAGTAGTCTTTGACAGGCTTTAGCCTTTGGGATGTAAGACCCTAAAGCATGTCAAACCCGCTCCCGACACCATAAATCCCAAAACTCTAGGCCCTTACGAAGGCTAGGCCGAAAAGCCTGCAACCCCAAACTTTTGGCCAACCAGGTTCCCTTGTAGTCCTCGAATCATGAGAGTGCCCTGTTTCCCATTAATCGGTTTTCATATAAG